TTACCTACTGTAGCCACGTCGGGATGTTTGCGATTTTAATGCCATCTGACATTGGGTTTGATTAATGTTTAACTTGTGGTTTCATGGAGTTTTTTTTATTTTGACGGGAAAGGGCGGTGGTGGGTTGTGGAGGTAAAGTTGTGGTGACATGTACAACTTGCACACGCAAGGACTTCACTGAACTGAAGTCGGGCAGCCGCTGTACTTCCATTTGTTTATTGCATTGTTGTTCGGTTTGTCCTTGCCCGCACCTCCGATAGCACGGTTGGCTACATATGGTGCGGAAGAAGTTCAACATGCACACATTGCAATTTCACAGGATCATACGCACGTGTGCATGTATGAACGGGTTATTACTATTGTGAACTTGGAAGGGGGAAGTGACGTCAAATCACTTCTGGTTTTCTGGGGGGGGGGGGGGAATTTGTCTTTAATCATCCAAGTAATACATTTTTTTAATAGGGAGTTGTATTTATAGCGGGGGTTGGTATTCCGTTGGAGTACCCCACCACGTGATTTATAATCTGATCGGAGTAAAAAATCCAGCTCTCAAAACACGTAAATGGCACGAATTATTCGGTTTTAGTGTAAGGACAATCGAGAGAGCCCTGAACCATTATTTGTTCTCTTGCATTGGAGAAAAATGCATTTTCCGAAGGTTTGGGAAAAAAACTCGGAACTTTTGTCTTCCATTCTGTTGCGTGGCAATTTAGCGCCCAATATTTACTATTACATTGACTTTACGTACTTACGCTCCCTGTATTTGAATTGTATGGCTGATGTTGGCCGTAGTGTACAGTTATGTACTCTGTATGACGCGTGTATCATAAGATTGCGCTGTGTTTTAAAGTTTCCATACGAACTCCCATATGATCTGTCTCTCGAGCTGTAGACTTTAGAATGTTAATAATTGTGCAATAACGTAGGTTAATTATTACGTTGGATTTGCTGTTGTATACACACCGTATAGTATACGGAGTGAACTATGCAATATGGTATCGGAACAAAGCTTATCAAGGAATTTACGGGGCGATACGTTTAAAGCGACCACATTGATTCCTAATGACGGGTTACTACTTATCAACGGTTGATTGAATAGTGTTGCAAACAATCTCAACGTTTGCAAGGAGTGTTAAACGATACAATAATATGTTTATTTGGATTGGCGACAGACGAGTAATGAGGGGTTTTAAAATAAAATATTTTATTTATTCATAAGTATTATTTAAGTGTGGTCTATCAATAAACGGATCACTCCATTTATGATTCCTGCGCCTTATGAATTGAGAACTATAAAAGCAACCCATTCATTGGGTACAAATGTACGATTGCAGTTCGTCATCAGCTCACCAAAACATTCTACATTGGCTAATTTGAATGGTTCTTTATCGCTGACTTTTGTAGTGTTGCGGTTACTATAGTATAAACTTGGAAAACCTTGACTATGCAATTGTACGGTAAAACATATTATTCATGTGCAGCTTAAGCTACAATTGAGGCCGCTAATTTGGAGCCATTCAAAAAGGTGAGAGTTTTGCTGATTAAACATTCACTATAGCAATTGCAATTTAGATTATATTTAATCAGTTATCGGTGAGGAAAGATCTCGCCAATATGATGCTTCTAGAACCGTACGTAGCATTTTCATCTCCGTATGGAGTAGTTTCACGGAGATGAAAATACTTGCATGGTTGGAGAAGCGTCGTCTTGATCAAGATCCACATTTGTTTAGATATTAAGGATTTAGTTGCGACTTGGCATCACCATTTGTGAAGTGGATTCTAATGAGGTACAGGATAATGACTTGTAATCGACTCGGTATAAATAAACATTCTGGTTCTGTAGGTAGGTGGATATGTAAAAAGGTCAGGAGATGTGAACGTCTTTAGAAAATTATAGTTTACATCGTGAGCAAGTACCGCATTGGGTGTGGGCGGTTGATTGATCGTGGCGGATGCGCTCGTCGGATATGCGACGTTGGTACTGCAACACCGTGCTGTCCAGGTACCAGGTGGAGCCTAGCACGTGCGTCATGGCAGCCATGTTGTATGACGAAGGAAACAGGAATTCATTCCCAACAGTGCAGGCGCAGTGATCGTTACAAAACAATGCCTATTTTTATTGTTTTTCATCTCAACATTTTAAAAACTAAAACTCTTTTTAAACTAAAAGTCCTTTAGCGGGTTAAATGTTTACATTATACTTTAATATTTTACAAAACATAACACAAGTAGATGAAATAAGTACCTGGAGAAAGTTCTTGGTTCAACATTTTAAACATTGTTTAAACGTTTTAATAGCTCTTTGTTCAGAAAAAAAAGTACAATGTGTACGATAATTGAAATTGATGCATGAATACGGTATTGGGTCATTGTTTTTCACGCAGGTACAAATTTGTAAACCTTTGTCAAACACGCTTGGTACAGTTAAATAATTGCCACATTCAACATTGTAGTTGGTAATACAATGCCGTATGTGCATGGTAAGCATAATGTGAGGTAATTGCGCCATTATTGTGTTGCAAATAATAATGTTTGCAAAACAGTTTAGAGATATTGACACGACTGACGCATGATTATTATTATTTGTGCAACAGCTTTTACAACTCGTAACCGTGTGGAGGAATGTTTGGCTATATGTTCGCAACCAACTCTTGGCCGGTCCAACCAGTGCAGTGCTTCGAAATGGCACTACAAAGTAGTATTTGTTGTGCACAAACTGCGGTATTTATTTAAAAGATTTATCCGGGAAAGTATAGCAATCCCATTTTACAGTGTGATCCTACCCAAGATACGGCCACTCTGTTCGCAGACAGATGAGACAGTGCGGAGTATGGTATGCGTAGTAGGCTTGGCACGTGCGTGTGAATATGCTTGTGTAGAACGCCTGCGTATACAACCACTTTGACTTGCGGCTTCAACAATGACCTGCCCGTTTTTTTTCGACAAACCAAAAGTACAGTCACGAAATCTGTAAAGGTCTTTTCGGAGACCTCCTTTCCGTGTGTGTTTTTGCTGCGGTCCCGTTCGGTACGAAAGCAAACGGGGTTGGGGGGGGGGTCGAAGGGCCGCGCTCTGCGTTTGTCCGTGAAAACTCAGAAGTGCGTGCCTCTGTCCGAGCGAGGGGTTTGTCAAACCCCGGTCGCAGAGCGACCTGATTTCCATTTCGCACAAGAGGGCCTCTCAGTAGGGGCGGCCATGTTTTTTGCCAGCTTTCTTTTGTGTTTGTCCAACTTATAAAATGTTGGCAAACAATCTTGCATTGTGTGACATTTGCACTTGCCCCCTGCCATTTGAGGTTGTTTACTGACGGAGTTTGGATAATTGTGAAGATCTTGTGTTAAAAAAAGTTTTCCTTGGGATTTACTGTTGCTTAAACATTCTAAGCATGTAGCTACACTTTTTTTTGTCAGTGGTGTGTTTTGTGCACAGTTGGGGTAAAGTCTGGTTCAAAGCTTGGGTGGAAGATGGGAAAGTCTTGTTGATTGTATTGTACAGTGATTGTCAAACATTTGCACAACTATGTCCTGAGCAATAGCGTCACTACAGTTGTGAACATAAATGACTAATACTGTCATTTCCAGCCTTTTCGCCATCAATTCACTTATTGTTTGACAATACTTCACGCTTGTCGGTTTGAAGGAAAAAGCGACGGGTGCACTGAGTACCGGTTTGGACTCTCGCCGCCAATGTTAGCTGGTGGCCAGGAATCAAAACTCGGGTTGCCAGCTTCCTTATAGCCTTGTTCTCGAAACCACTACATCCCACCAACGCCTGCACACCCACCCTGCAGAATGAGCGCAAGCACTGTATGAATATGCGGTCACACCTGCCAGTGAACTATTCGCCATCCTTTTTATAATGTGAGTGGGCAGCAGAATGCTGCTTCAGAAGAAGGGGCTTGTTCTCTCTCCTCCTTGTGTGTTCTCGCACGATGTTATAGACCTTTTGGGCGTTCATCTTCACGGGCCTCCTTTTGGCGAATCTTACAAAATTCGCTTTGCGCCCAAATGGTTTGGCCATGCTTCCCATCAGTATGTAGCATGTGCATTATTTTTTTATCCTTAAATAATTAAATAAAATTTCCCTACATATCCTGAAAAGAAGCCATGGAGGGGGGGCGGTGGGGAAAAATGGAAGTGGTGTCGCGAAGTTTTAGAAAGTTTCCGGCATGTATTAAGTATTTTCACAGGCGTGACATTTAAATAGGTTAAAATCTGTACACGTTGCCCTGGCGTCAAATCAAAGGGGCCATGGAAAATGTAATAAACGTTTGTAAATTAAGTTAGTGCTCCTGGATATTTAATATCCCGACAAACAGCTCGACTAGAGTTTTCTTCTTTAGCCTACTGGAGGCCTCGGGCAGGAATTCCAGGCAAGGCCGAGGTTGTGCTGTTTTGCACTTACAGCTTTGCTTCCCAGAGCATGTGAGATGTTTGCCTCTTAAAAACACCACACGACGGTTCCCTAATGTACTTAAAGTGTTGTGATATCTGTAACATTGCTCTGCCGTATCATAAACGCACAACAAACGATGGAAATCTGACCCTCTTCTCTTGTTCAAGACAAAATGTCTTGACAATAACCAGTTTGCACATATGTGGTGGCGTGTTTTCAAAAAATGATTTTTCGCCATTGATCATCTACGCCGACACCGCCTTATACTCAGCATATTTACAACGTGCTGGAAGATAAGTTGATAACCATCTGTCTGTGCAGTCGCTTAGATGTGACTGATTATAAGGCACTGAGCATTTGGAACTGGAGTGACGTAACTCTGCAAGACTTGCGGCTCCGCCCCCACCCTGCATGCAGAACCTCTTTTAAATCAGCTGAGTCTCCCACAGTTCTTGCTGCTAGCCCAGTGGGCTGCCCGAAGAACCTTCTTCCCACCCTTCCAGCGAGGCATCCTGTGCCACCGCCCCCTCTGCTTCTGTCTGCTGGCTTCCCACAGCCCCCACCACATCCACAGCGGTTCTTTGTGCCTCCTCTGAAGTGCAGATGCGACACCTGCGCAGGTGGGATTGGTGGGGAGGGGGGCCTTCGCTCACGGAAGACCTCACGGGGCGTTGAAAGTTTCCTCAATTTGGTACGGATGGTGCACCCTCCGTGACTTTACCCCCCCCCCCGCCTGCTTGCAGTAACCTGAGAATTGCTTAATCTGTGAATAAAGGAAGACATTTGAGGACACAAAGGCCCTGTAAACAACTATGGTGGTGGTTTGCATCGGAAAATAAACATGGTTTTTGTGGTGCACAAACGTGTGTGGTGCGTGTGGCATGATGACTTTTAACCGACAAATTGAAGACCAGTTGAAAAAAATGTCACCTTTGTAAATGTATTTTTACGCACCATACGAAAAGCCATTTGACCATACTTCACTCCGCTTGTCAGTGCTTTAGGGAGGCCTGCATCCAGCATGGCATTGACAAAGGCCTGCTGCACATCAAAAGCCATTGCAATATTATTTTCTCATATATACTCGAGTAACGTTTGTTTTAATTGCCAATTATCAGATTTCAAAATTGTGCTACTAGAGTTGATATGAGGTGATGAAAGGTCCCTGTTCCAACAGCTTCATACTCCAGAATCTTGTGTGAAGATGATTTACAAACCCGTGGGGTGACACTGAGTGGGCACATTCACTTTCACCACAACCACAAGATGGCATGCTATTGTATTCTGTACAGATCAGTTTTGCCACATTTATCATCCAATTCATAGTGCATCACAAGTGGAATTTTTTTTGTTTCATATCTTGACTTTGTGCAGTCGTCGTTTTCTTTTACTGAGCAAACGCCATAAACTCACTCTACTAAAATTCAAAACTCTATGGTTTTGTGGTACCATTTCAGGAGTACCACCAAACAGCGATTTTCTTTTATTAGTTCCCACTTGGGAGCCACAGTCGTGAGATTGTTTTACTTCCTCGGCTGGTACACAGGAGGTCGTGGGTTCGATCCCAACCCTGATGGCTGTATATTTGGAGTTTGCATGTTCTCACCATGGCCGCATGGCTATTTCTCCGGGTCCCTCCACATTTACAATCAACATGCATTTACAGCATGTGGCTGTTATCAATTTCCACATTATAAGCCACTTTCTTGATCTATTGCTTGTGGCCAGGTCTGTTCTGAAAAAAAGCTATATAACTCGGTGACCCTTACCTGGTAAAATAAACAAAAATTGTTTAATTTGAATCTGTCGCTGCGTTCCCACGTCACGCCGGCGGGTTTTCTCTCGGCTCTACGTGCCTCTCTTGTAGCATCTGTGGCTTTAGCTGCATGGACAGGAACCTCCGTAGGTGGGGGGAGGGGGTTGGGGTGACATGTCCCTGCGGTGGTAATGCGTTTACCATTTTGTAAAGATTTGCAGTCTGAACCCAGCAAACGCCCAGGTTAATTAATTCTGCAGGTCTATTAACCACTGAAAAAATACGTGTCGGCTGCTTCACGGTTGAAGCTATTTGACAAAGTTAGCCATATGTGCCGGTCTATTCGGAAACCGTTGGCTCTATGCACTTCGAAATCTAGATTGTTTCGTTTGTCCTTCCCCCGGTAGCTCCGATTAGCACGGTTGTCTATGCGCGTTGTGAAAGAAGTTCAACGTACATGCATACATCGTGCTCCAAATATTTGAGAAATGACTTGCAAATTACTCGCCACGGTTAAACATCACCCACTGCTGGCAGACTCATGCCAGCTTGCTGGCCGGCGCCGAGTTCACCTTGCGCCTCCACAGGGACAGCTGCCACCGGGAGTCCTCTGCCACGTGCTGCTTCCAGATGTACGGCATGGGAGGTTGCAGTATATAAATGATGACGTCCCGTATTTATGGTGTGATCCGATGGCCCCGTTTATTTTGACCATGCCGATACTGGAGAAAAATTAACTTCCACGTGATCTCCTATGAGGTTAATTGGGCACCATAAATATGTTGCTGCCGGAGACGTAATAAAAGTTATCTAAAACAGCGATAACATTCAGTACCAGTGTTGTGCCTGTGGTGGAATGGTTAGCACACTGGACTTGCAATCCAGAGGTCGGTGGTGATTCAATACGTACTCCTGGCGTGACTGTTGAAACAATGGGAACGTTTCTTCAGCTCCCACCCCACCACAACTCTCCATCCAGCAGTATAAGTGGATACACCTCGAGCGAGTGGCTTGGCAGGCCACATGGGCTGGGGGTAACGCCTTTCTTGACCAAGACGTCTGGCCAGTTTAGAAGAGTAGGCCATACATTCCCTCTCGAGTGGCTGTCTCGAGCTCTTTCACTGGTCGTGGAGGCGCCTTTCCACCAGCAGAGGCATGAGTAAGCAGTTGCAGGGCTGCACCTTTACTTAAAAAAACTATCTTTTACTGTACATGTTCGGGTGTAGCCGCCAATCGCAAGTTTAGAAAGTTGAGGTTCAAAAATAAAGCTTAACCGCAAAGAAAGAAGCGATTTTTTTTTTTTTGGGTCGGGAAAATACATTTGCGAAAGATTGTGCCAATAAGATTTTTTTGCGCGATATTTCACGAGAGAAAATGCACGATTGCATGTTGGTGCCCCTGGAGAGGGAACGCTCGCACGCGCGCACTCGTGCGTGTGTTCCTCATTCGCGCTGATCCGACAAAAACCTTGAACATCCACTGCCTGCCTACAAACACCGCTGGAGCACACTGACATTACTTAATGCTGTTTTGGTCCTCCGTTGTCAGCCGTCGAGTTTTTGTATCTCATCGGTCAAGAAATTTGGCGGCGCTTATCTCGGCCCACTAAGCAGAATTGTCAACTTGCACGAGTGTTTAGAATGGGCCTGGGTATTCCGCGGGGGGTCGGGGCGGGTGGATGCAACAACTATGAAGTAATGAAAACAAGTGGAATAATACCACGAAATTTACAGGCCCGTCAACGCCTGGCCTGGTTCTTTCTTTACCCAAAACGACCGACGTTACATCATCCGCGCCGTCATCGACGATGGCGAACTTGAGAAACGCGAGCCAAGGATACGGACCGAACGAACGGTGGTCGTTTTGCCAAACCCATCGCTGCCGCGCTGGTATTGCGCTCGTGAGGGGCCATGTGGTTTTAATTGAGCCGAGGTTGGGGGGGGGGGATTACCTTCAGCGTTGCATCACGGTAATTGTTTTGGACGAGCGGTTATTATGGCCGGGCTGCTGGGGGGGAAAGGGACACCACTTCCTGTCTGGCCCCCTTTTCGCGGGAGCAGATTGACTCGGGTCTACAGCGTGGGCCTCCACACTCTCGCATGGACTTTGTGGAGTGGTTTAGTTCGAAGGGGTGGGGGGGGGCAAGAAGCAGCTACAGTGTGCACGCCATGTGTGCTTTGCGCGTTGGTGTGTGCGCCGTGTTTTCGTGTGCTGCACGCCATCTGTGTGTTGCGCACGTGTTCGTATGTTCACGTTTCCTGCAGCTTGCGCCCGAAGAGAAAACGGGATTGTCGCGCGTGGTTTAAGGGTCGCTCGAACGTTACTCACGTGGGCCACGCGCCCGCCGTGTAACGAACAACATCGCAGGCGAGTATGGGGGGGGGGGGCGGTTGGGGGTGGACTCCTCCGACCGCCTTGGTAGTCCGAGCTGCTTCCCACCGCTATCGTGTTATGTCTCGGTGCCTGGGCCGCGATACGCCCTGGAGCGGAGCACAGAGACCCTCGGCGCGCGTGCGCCCCCCCGCCAACGCTTGTTTTTAAGGTTTTAACATTTTTGACGATTACGTTAACTTCGGACGTGGAATGCACCAATTCCGTGTTGTTTTAAATAAATAACCGCGGTGTTTTATAAACGCCCGACTTTCTTTGGGGCCGCGCGCGCAGACGAGGCTCGCGAAGTTTCCTCGCCATTGGGCTGGTAGTTATTCTATAGCGCGAGTGGGTGAAAGTTTTCCTCGTCTGGTGTCAAATGCCCCACAAAATTAAGGTATGAAACCGATTGGGTTTTCTATCGCAATTCTGTAAGTTTACCAATGATTAATCATAAGGGCAACCTGACGTTACATTGCTGAATTATACGGGAACGCACGTGAGCGCACACTTTTTGTCGTCGGTATATTTATAATGGACAAACATTATATATGTAGAAACTGCCCAGTTAGAAGCACAAAGGCTTGAGCCAAATAAAGAAGTGATGCCAAACATTGCTAAGTTAAACATGACACCGTTGGCTCTCTTGGTGCCGGAACCCTGCCCCCTTTTGTGGAGTCAGTGGGAGGAGTGCTCGCAAAATTCCCACTGCCCTCTTCTGCCCCTTGGCCAGCATTTTCACCGTTTCCGACGTCGCCGTTGTAACGTGCCTCGTTATGGTTATTGACGACACATCGGTTGCCATAGTCATCGTAGACGCGTTAACAAAGAGATGGCAAACGGTGTATTTGTCGTCGTCCGCAATTTTATGCACTGTAGCATGATTGCCTCTTTTCTGTTCTTGCACGAGGGCAATATGTCCGGGAGCACAATGTCAGCGTCGAGCTCTGCTAGCCACGACTCGAGCCTTAGGAGGAGGGTTCCTGTAGTTTTGCTGTTCCTCCTCCGTTGAAGGAGCACAGACCTTGGTGATTTACTCACACGGTCCATAGTTTGGACTGCGTGGTGACGGCACTGATGTGACCCTCCTGAGACGTCACCATGGCTTTGTGATTCAAGAAGCCACCTCGCTTCTTTCTCCACGAGCCGATCTTATCACTCCATCTCAACGGTGGACGGTCCCCACTGGAGTGTTGGCTCCTTCTGCTGCGAGCCCGTGATTGGTCTCGGCCGCCATCGGCCATTGTTCAGTGACTTTTCCTTCCCAAGCCCACATACGGTACTCGTCTTAAAACAGTGGACGTAAACGCCTCTAACTGGCTACTGATGTCTGAGCTACGTCTTCCTCTTTCAGTCTCTCCCCGCGTAATTCCAAGCTCTTTGTACGTCGTGTTATAATACGAACGAGCACTCCCAGAATGGGTCTATCTCGTGCTGTGGTTTGTGGGGAAGGGGGGGGGGGGACATAAGTGGACCGTGTCCCACGTCCCTCTCATGGCTCGGGTGCCACGGTGGCGAGATGTTAATTACCTCGACCAGTACACAGGAGGTCTTGGGATAGGATCCCGACCCTAACGCCTGTCTATTTGGAGTTTGCATGATGTTCTCGCCTATGGTTGCGTGGATTTTTCTCCGGCTCCTCCGGTTTTTACCTCCATGTTTAGAAGCGTGCGTTTAGAGTACTTGGCTGGTGTAAATGTCCACGTGATAAGCCACTTTCGGCTATAATTTGTGACCAGGTCTCTTCTGAAAAAGAGCTATAATAGCTCAGTGGGCCTTACCTGGTAAAATAAAAAAAAAGTTGTTAAATCTGAGTTTAGGCACGCGTCATGGATGTTAACGTTAATTCCGCGATGCTGCCCGACGTGTGATTAACGGCAGCAAGCCTCTCGCGGGTATCGCTGGTGCTGCGCCAGTGCTGCACATGCAGCGGCAGTGGTGCGTGCGTTCCGGTGGAACGCGCAGCGTGCACACAACGCACACCCCCCCCCCCCCCCCCCCCCCCCCCCCCCCCAGAGCGCCACGTTCATATTATTTATATTTGTGCGGTCGTTTGTACGGCCGCACGTTATTAAATTTTTACGTTTATTCGTAGCTCGTTTAGCCAAAAGTGGCTTGCCGCCCCGGCTATTGAGTTGCAGCCTTTGCGGGAATCTGGAGTCGGGTCTCGAGAAAAACAGATGTTTTGCGTTGCTCAGTCAAGTTGTGTTAAATGGCTGTGTGGGGGTTGAGAGGTGGAAGGGAGAGAGAGGGGGGGGCGGGTATTGGGGGGTTGGGGTGGGGGGTCGTTGGTTCTGGCTTGGGGAGGGGAGGCACGGGGGAGGGATGTGGGAGTTTTGGGGGGGGGGTGTGGAGAGTGGGGGTGCAGCTCGCGGCCACACTGAGAACCACGCCTACAGCAGGCCCTTGCCCTCCAGGGCGTGCTTCACACCGGGAGACTTTTAAATAACATTAACAATTATACGAGATCGCAAGGCCATTGACTCGTGCGGTTACATTTTACGTGAATGGCCCCTTCTTTGTCAGTCCACTGCTGGATGGAGGACCCCCTGGCGCTGTGGGGCGGTCGTGTTTGACCGTACCGTACTTTGCCGCACTGGTCCGGTACGGTTTGGGTGAAGATTGAGTGAGCGTATGGAATTAAGGAGTGTGGAGTGCAGTTTAAACAAGTAGATTTTGATGCACTGCCCCGTTGATGCCTGCAACCTAACCCAGTAGTCTACGGCACCTGTTATGCATGGTGGTCGTCGCACATTCAATGGATTGTCCAAGCTCAAACACTGCTTGGCTTCCTAGATGTGGTGAGATCAGGTACTTTTAGGGGTGGTATGGTCTTGTGGACAGTAGGAACGCGGTCATCGTGATAATGAATAACGGTGACAGGGTTCGTCCAGGAATAAGCCAGCGTCGGGCTGTGTTGCTCTCCATTGCCTGTTAGTAGACACGTGATGCACAAATGAAAATAAAATAACTGTCCTGTCAGTGCGCGGTGACTGGTCACCACGCAGAACAAAAGCCACAGAACACACGATTTCGATTTAAAGCTTTCGTGACTGCAGCGATTCATATTCTTGGTTCTGTTTCTTCACCTGAGGACGGCTGCTTGCGTTGTGGCCGAAACATCGTGAGACTTGTATTAGATAATGTTTTATTTTTATTATTTTATTATTTCCCTTCTACATGACTTTACCGAAAGAACCAAGAACACACCGATGACTCGGTGCACAATTCGCAAATACAAAGGCGACCTCATCACAGCGACACATTGTCCGGCCTCAAGGAGAACTCAACGTAAAATTAACCCATAATGCAGGTATTTTTTTGAGTTGGATCTCGTAAATATATAAATGTGTCGTTAAACCTGTCAGGGTTTAAGGAACAAAACAGGAGGAGTTCTCCACAAATCTAGTTGTAATTGCTGGCAAAACGTCGTACACAAATTGTAAATGTTCTGGCTTTGCTCTCCAACACACTGGTGTGCTGCATTCGTAACGAATTGGCAAGTTCTGTTTACGTGACAAACCTTATTGGCTGTGTCGGGTGGTGGATGGGTTTAACGACACATTTACGTCATCTAACCCAACAAAACCTGCATGGATGATATTGGTCGCGAAAGCCTGTGTTAAACGTAAAATTAATCCGTTGTTTTACCCTACATCATCGGCCGTACTGATGAGAAAAGAAATTCCACATTCTGCTGCCAAGAGCCAGACTCTTGACAGGGGAGCCATTGTTGACTTTAACACCAAGCGGTGAAAACTCCCTCCCCAGGTGGCGCGCGCATCTGTGCCCGCCTGCAGGCACGGCGAGCGGCATTATCACTGGCGGCCGCAATGCGCCGGCGTGGCCGTTGGACCAGATGAAGGGGAGGGGTTCTTTTTTTTTTGGGATCCAGTGCCTCTGCAAGGAAGAGACCCGAGCTAACCTTGTCCTCGGACAATTTACTCGCGTCGTAATTGCCGCCGCGGTGTCTCTCATGGTCCCGCGACGCTCTCGTGCTCCTGCGCAGTATCCAATTTTATCGTTCTGTCTCTCTGTTGGCGGTCGTACATTGGAGAGTTTCCCTTCCTTTGGCTGGCACTTCGTCGTTAATCTCGACCGTCGGCCAGCATTCCTCGGAGCGACGTGCCCTGCTCGAGGTCCGTCCGCTCGCGCTACTTTTATTAACCGTCAATACGGCTTCTCCAACTTTGTGCATGCGAGGGATTGCACTTTTACGATTATACTTGAGAGACGGAAAGTGCCACCTCCCCGTGCTGCTTTGCATGCTTTTCGACTTTTTCCTCCGTTTTCTAAATTGGTGTCCGTGTTTCTAATAAATGTGTCATATAGCAGTTGATGCGTGCCACCGATTAAGAGCTTTTTTTACGCACCCAGGTGTGTTGCTCCAAAACTGGTCACTGCACGATCTGACCATGTCCGTCCAGTGCTCACCGAGCTGCATTGAAATTCTGGTCTCCTGAACGAATACATTATAAGGTTGCACTCATTACACACGAAGTGCTTGCCACAAATTAACGACAATACCCTGCTGATCTCGTCAAGGACCATAAACCATCACGCAAACTCCGGTCATTCACCCAGCGACTTCTGGCTAGCCATCGAACAAAGACGATCACCGCATTGTGTTCTTTCAGATGGCGCTTCTGTGGACGTCTGGAACGATCTTCCTTCTGATATTAGGAAGCCACTGGAGTTGTGCACTTTTAAAACTAGATTTAAAACTCTTTTTTTTAGAACTGTTTTTGTTTGTTTAGTTTGTTTCCTTACACACGCATACAAGGTGTCGGTATGAGTGGCTCGTGCGTCCTAACCATCGCGTCGCGGTGCTCGGCGTTTACATTAGAAAGCAATTCCTTGCGCGGTTACAGGACGATGTTGCATGCTCGCGGCATTGCCCGTGCATTTTTCTGTAAACGCCCAAGAGATGTTTTTCCCTTGTCAGCTCGTTTACGATATCCGCTTCACTTCCAAACACGTTTTGCCGCCAGTCTCTAGTGCGGTACGCGGCAGGAATTTGATCGTGGAGACGAAAGAAGAGTCACGTTTGCCATATTTCACGGGCTGATCGTGTAACTGAGCTCTTTGCCCAGATGTTGTATTTATATATATTTTTACTCGCAGTTGGGGGGTGGCTGAGGGTAGGGGGGGGGGGACACAGAGCCGGCATCTTGTTACTTGTTTTATTTCTCGTCGGTTGTATGTTTTGTTTTGGAGACGCGGAGGTAAATAAAGGAGATGGAAGCAAAGCTGAAGGGTGCGCAAAGAAGCCGTGGAGAGGTGCCCGCTTAAAATCGCACCGAGATACAAGGGGAACGCATGGGTCCATGAACAAACACGATAGAGAGATGTGGTGTTGACTTTTTCGAAAAGTGCGTGGGCTCGGACACACATGCTCGCTAACGGCGATGATGTTGATCCATGGGCGGGATCGGTAATAGAACGTGCCCGAGAGAAAGATCACTGCGGAGATGGAGAGAAGAGATCGGCACATGGGCACGAGCAAGGTGGAATCGCAATATCAAGGTGGGTGGGGGGGGGGATGGACAATGTTGGGTGACGAAAATATTTCATCCAGCAGTAGATAGACTATGGCTGGTCGTGCACAGGTAAAAACGTCTGCGCAGCAAGAGTCACACTGGGTGCAAGTTGCCATTTGAGATTTCTTTAACCAGAAACCCGTGAGCCGAAAAGAACATTATAAGAAACCTGGGTCTTTTCTGCCCTTGGGCGACGCTAATAATGCAAACGCTTGTCAGAATTTTGCGCGCAAGCGGCGTGCTTTCGTAGCAACCTCCGCCCGGTGCTCCAAGCTGTTTTGGGTGCCGGGAAACAGAGGGAGGGAGGTGTTTGTGCTGGGTAACACGATCGAGAGCAAGCCCCGTCGGGCAATTTAATAAACCCACCCTGTGGCTAAATGACGCGGGAGAATGAGAGCCGCGCCGGTGTTGGGATGTGTGGTAATTTTTATTCTGCGTCTGCTCTGTTGCACCGTGCACCTTCCAGGTGACCGTGCACCTTCCAGGTGACCGTGCAGTCCGGAATTTCGAGCTGTGGGGGGGGGGGGACCTTGTCGGTTGGTGGTGGCGTTGGGCTGCAGAGCAGGAAGCTAAGCAAATATTTTTATTTACCAGGTAATGCCCACTGAGCTATGTAGCTCTTTTTCAGAAGCGACCTGGTCACAATATCCCAACGAGAAGTGGCTTATCACGTGGAAATTTATAGCAGTCAAATATTCTAAACGCATGTTGTTTCTAAATGTGGGGGGGGGGGAAATTGGAGGACCCGGAGAAAATTCCACACGACCACGGGGAGAGAGACGTGCAAATATACAGGTGTCGGAGTCGAGATCGGACCCACGACCTCCTGGATTCCAAGCGAGGTAGTTAACATCTTGCCATCGTGCCACCCTTGTTAAGGCGCACCCCAAACTAGTCCGGTAAAAAATTAAGGAGTTGCAAAAGTCAGGCCAGGTATGCGAGGGATAATGCAAGTCTCGCGTGGACACCTTGGGTTTTGTGGATCAGACCTGCACTCGCAGGCAAACGATTTGGTGCCTGCAGGAGGGCAGTACA